CTTTGGCAGGTCCAGGTAAGACCCTGTTTCTGACACATTCTCTTCTGGCCCCTCATCTTCTGCAGAGGGTGGCGGAGAAGAGAGGCAGGGGAAGGGGGAGAGGAGGTCATTTCTTGGCTGTGTCGACTTTGGCAAAGAGTCCGCTGCTTTGAGAAAATCCAAGAGGGTGAGACAAACTCACTGCCCACAAGCTAATTCCAACTCGCCGTCTCCGTGCAGGGCAGGGGAGAACTGCCGCCTCGGACTTCCAAGGCGGTTACCTGTCCTGGAAGCAGACGGCCTCATCTTTCTCCCAGGGAGCAATGGGCGAGTTCTCATACGGCAGCCAAATGCCAGGAAGGCGTCTCCCTCCCAAAGCCCTCCCACCCCCAGGGTCCCTTCCCTCCACCGTTCAGTGTGGTTGGTTCATTCTTTGTTTACAACATCGGGGGCCACGATTCGATTACTTTCCACCTTTTCTTTCTATTCCTACCCATAGCACACTAGCTCGGAAACTTTGGAGGTCACATCACAACTGGATTATCACAGCTTCCACGCGTCTTCTTTCCGTCACAATCCTTGACAAGATCAACTCCAAAGTCGGGGGCCTTCTGCTGTCCGCCTTTCGGTGTTCCCACCTGACTTCCCCCTTCTCCTTCCTTATGCATGTCTAATTCAGCCCACTCTGGTGAGCCGAGAGCCAGCAGACGTGTGTATCTGTCACGCCACAACGGACTTAAGGCCCGTCTTGAGCTGGGCTGTTCCACGGGTCAGCCCAGCAGGAAGAGCGCTGACAGAATGTGACAGCTGGAGGGGGGCCATCTACTCCGTCAGCAAAGTGTGGCTTTAAAAATGATCCCCTCTCTATAGAAAGGTTAAACGCTTTGAGAAACTGAGGCCCCAAGAACAAGACATATACACCCCCTTCCCTTTTTCCCCCCTGAACATTTAAGTGTTTCAACACATGTTACTGACATGGGCTTAGAGGTTAGTGAGAAAGACAAAGTACCACACATATGACTGATTTTTCATGACTGCTACAACGAAGAGGGAAGGTACCGGGTGTCAGGACATGGCTAATGTAGGTGCAGTTAAGGGACTTGGGGAGGCATGGGGACAAGAAGGAAGGCTCCCTGAGAGGGAGTTGGGGGTGGGGGTGGGGGGCTTTTAAGCAGGGAGGAAAGAATGGGTAAGAATTAGCTCTGCAAAAAGGCAGCACATGACAGGCAGAAAACAAGCTCAGAAAAGGGCACTTTGTAGGGACGACGAGGCGGAGGTCTGGAAGCTGAAGTCTAATGAGTGGTGGGCGGATGCTGGTTTACAAGGAGGCCTGGTGGCACTGTCGGGTCACCACCGGACTGCCAACCACAAGGGCAGTGGTTCAACCCAGCAGCTGCTCTGAGGGAGTGAGTCGAGGTTAACTACTCCCACAAAGATTTACCGCGGCAGAAGCCCTATATAAGGGTGGCTTTGAGTCAGAGTCCACTAGATGGAAGTGGGTGGGTTCGGGGTAACCAGGGATCGGGCTGAAAAGGAATGAGAGCATGCTGGGGCTGACAAGGTTGTGCTTTAACCTTACAAGGTTAAAGGCTCTGAGATTCAACCTAAGGGGAGCGGGCCTTGCAGATCAGGTTCTGAGACAGCTTAAAATCCGGACCGTGGCTCACCAATGGGGGGGGGTAAGAAAAACCATGAGGGGATCAGAACGAATTCCCATTTCGTATCAGTTGAAACCTTTTCTTTCTTTCTTTTTGATCTACCACTCTTTGTGTGTGTGGCCTAACCCCACATCACATTTACAGAGAAGTATGCAGATGTATAAATACAACCTTTTCCACATAGTCTACTTGGCTTTGACAGGAGGGTATGAGTGTGTACCAGAAAACACTTAAGGGAGGGGGAGGGGCAGGGGAGGGGGCGGCGGCTTGTTTCCTTATTTCTTTTTAAAGCAAAAAAACACCAAGTAACAATAGTCTAATACAACGTGTATGTCCCTGTTAGGGCATGCTGTGGTGCTGGGCCGTAATCACACTAAATGCTTGTCTCTTTGAGTTGCTCCGTGAGCCCAACCCCTCGGGGCTGTCAGTGGGACCCCACCCAGCAGACAGGTGGGAGAAGGAGCTGCAGATCTGCTTCTGTAACGACAGCCCCACGGGGGCCACGAGTGGCCGCTGATGGCCCCTCAGCAGGACGGAGATGAGTGCATGGCTGAGGCAGCTGGCTGGCAGCCACCGCTGGTCACAGAGACATACTGGGACACGTCTTGTGTGGACACATCTTGTGTGGAGTCAATCCAGGCACACAGGAACAGAGACTTTCCTAGCAATGCTTTTGTTTTTTACTTACCCTTGTGTGTACATGTGTGTGTGGGCA